GCAGCAATACATTATGATTATAAACTCGTATTGCTATGAAACAAATTTCTATAATACTCAACTATGTTTTGAATGATTATTGAACTCCTGGAAGTCCCTTGCCCTAGACTAATTACGAATTATGATAGCGAAAGTCATAATATGAAACTAATATAGTATAGTAAAGTTGTATTTTCAATAATTTGTACAAAAATGAACATTCATTTTATTTTTAATTTACTTATGATCATTATATCATTATGTGATCATTTCTTCGGGATTTCTGTGTCATCGTATTCAAATTCTTATTGTGAATTTTGTGTTTTAAATAATTATTTTGCATTTTTTTGACAATGGCAAATAAAGAAAATAATCTAAAACGGAAACGGTCATCTGAAAAAAAAATCGCAAATTCTCTGGTACTACGACGATACAAAAAAATAAAGTAAGTACCTATTTATATAAATTATATTAGAAATTTAAATACTTTATTTGTCTGTTTAAACGTTTATAGTAAATTAAAATAAAATAATAATATTTTGGGCTCTACCCATTCAATAATTATAACAAAATAATTCTATTATCTTTTACAAAAAACAATTCTGTTGGGATGGATTAACACCTCCGCCACTACAGATTCCAATATATATAACTATATTTACTTATTATAATTACCAGTAGACACTCTTGTTTTCATAAAAATAATACCTTGGAAATAAATAATTTTGTTTTTAGTACCCCCCAGGAAAATGTGGAAAATGTGCACTGACGGCGGCGATCTGTCAGCCTAAGATATTTTATATTGGGTATATTTACGTTTTTATATCTTCTATTTTTAAATTAGGACAGGTTGCTGATTGCATACTGTCGGTTAAAATAATATAAAAATATTATGAAAATCTCATTGTCAATAATTCAGTTAAAATACGTACTTCAAATGTCTATAAAAAAATGTGCGAATATGTATTTTATATATATTTTAATTAAAGTTAGAACAACTTATGTGAATTCGTGTACCGTACCTAGTTAACTTAAAGTACATTGACTATTCAAAAAGTAAAAACATTTATAAAAAAAAAAATCGAATACTTCAAAATACCTATATAAATAGCTTATAAATAAACGAAATATTTTGAAAAATATATACTTTGTAAAGAGAATACAAATTTAAATAACTTAAAAAAAAGGTCTTAAACTAGATTCCATGGTTCATACTGTAAAAAAAAAATCTAAAAAATATATATGCACAGATTTTTTTACAGTTATTTAAGTTCAGATTTGTACGAATTATTATTATTAAAACCAAGAATAACGATTTTAGCTATTTCGTTGTAATTTAAAAATGTTATTTGATAGGCACTGATATTTTTTCATTCCAACCGATTTTTTTCACAGATTTCCGCTGATGTGGTTACAACTAAATTTAAACCTAGCTGTGTTTAATAAGTAAATAATTAACAAACAATACATTTGACATTAAAAGTATAAAGTTATAATGCTATGAATTTTATACCACAATAAATAGTCCATCTAGTCATTTAGGTTATGCTTAAATAATATCAAATAAAACTATTATGGTACCATATAAATTTTAATATTCAATATATATCCTTACTGTAATACTGAATACTAAAAAACTTAAAACCCAAGAAGTTCTTAGTTAAAACTAAATAACAATTACTACATGGCTATGCAATATAAACAGTAAATTTTACCATCACTTAAACTCTAAATCAATAAAGCATACAGGTTCAACAGTCAATAGTTTCATTACATCTAATTATAACAGCTATATATGAGTATTCCGCGATGATGTTTATTACACAGTTTATTAATATTTAATACAATACCATAGGTATTACCATTGTAAAAAGTACTTATACATACATTTTAACATAAACTAAGTTTATTGAATTGTTTAAGAATAGAGATAAAAAAAATCATAGTCTGGTCGATGCAGATGTCTCCATGAAAGAGTTACTAGAATGAATCAATGAAATAAATCAAAAACAAAAAGATGATTTATGTAGGTAAGACAATCACGCATTAACGTTTTAAAGTTCAGTATACTGTTTTCATCAGTCGTTTTGCCGTTATTACGGTAAAACAAAAATTTATTTATAACGAATTTATCACAATAAACCTTTTGATCTCTGCGAACATTAGGTACCGCATGCCGCGGAGACAGTAAATTAACGTTGCACGATTTTAGTGTGTAGGCTACTAAATAACTCACCGTTTATTATTGTCGGCCATAATACTGCAGCTGTATGTCAGTCGTCTTCTAAATCAAAAATCAGTAACCAACACACTTACATACTCATAAATCAAGATAATTAAGCACACTGCACAGAATACAAGTATATTATAATGGGTAACGACGGTCATTGGACGTTGACGGTTGACCATAGATATTGAATTATATAATAATAATAATATATTTTAGTTATTTGTGATCGTCGTCGTCGCCGACGAAGATAACAATTTTGGGTTTACCCATTAGTAAATAATTATTAGTTCGCATTTGGTCGGCTGTTTGTAGATTTGTAATGTGTTTGCAATGTTTGCATTGTTCGACATAGGTACGCTAAATAGCAGTAGTCAGTACAGACTACGGATTAAAATATAAATTTATTTGTTATTATAGACGAACGAGCGTCTTTCATTTTTTTTTGTGTCTTCGCCTCCAGACTTCCAGTCGTAACGTTCTATTGGCCATCCCTATTAATGTATTATAAAGGTGCGTCTCCACTGGCGTGCGGCTAGGCCGCGCGGCTTTGGTAGCCGATCGGCCGAAGCCGCGGGTTCCCGATGGTTGTCGGTTAACATCAAAGAAAGCCGATGCAGTGGAGACGCACCTTAATATAATATTATATAAAAATATAAAATATAATAATTATAAGATATTGCCATATTGGGTACTCGTACTCCGAAAACTTACCTACGCAGTGTCGAGAGAAATTATTATGAGGCCTTTTTTTTGTGAGGCCCCAGGGTATATTAATTTTATAGCTTTTTTTACAACTTATTGTTGACCTACCAACATTATTTTACCCAAATAATCATTAATGTGTAGATATCTAGATATTAGATACTAATATAGTAATATTATGATGTAAGTGTTTATTTATTGTACAAATTAAATAAATAGTTGACAAAACGATTTTAAAACCGTGTAACGTGGGGCCACCAAAATCACGGGACCCTGGACAGCTACTCCTTCTGCCCTGGCTTCTAGTTAATGTACGTATGTATACAAAAAGAAGAGTTATAAGTGTTATAACAACTATAGTTACTATAACTGCTGATTGCCTACAATAAAATTGTATAAAATTATGATATTCCCAAGGTCTTCCTAGTTAAATACATTCGGTCATTCCCATTGTATTTGTCAGTCGGTATTACATTTGATTACTAAATTGAGTTAATTCATTTTAGAACTCCAAAGACATGAAAATGGAGTACTAAAATGGGTTATCCCGATTAGGAGGCTAGTAGGACTACCGGCGGGATTAATTGTGCTGTGCGGGTATGTATGAATCATGATGACAGTAAATAAAAATAATAATAAAAAAACTTGAATTATCATTTTTTTATCTATTTAAATAAAATAAAATAGTATATTTAAAGATTGAAAAAAAAAATATTAAGTTTAATATAATATAATAAATATGAATACAGTATAAAAGTAGTAATAATTATAAAATGAACATTTTTTTATAAAAATTTTTAGCAAACAAAAAATATGAGTATTAAATCTAAAGGTTTTAATTTTTATTACATTACCAAATCTTGCAAAATCATATTTGATAATGAATTAAAATGAAATTGCAACAACTCGTACATGAATGAAATATCATCACTTTGAATATTGCTATAACTAAAATCATAATTTTGAATATATTGGTTTGTAAATTCATTTCGTTAACAAAACGATGGTAATCCATTGACGTCGGCCTTTATCAACGCATATGCTGTATCAAATGTTTTTTGGTATGATTCCAAATCAACGTGAGATAATGTTATATAATTATTATTAGAATATAAAACAATAGTCGATTGGTTAACATTAACGGAATAGAAAAAGTTGTCAGCTATTTTAACACGTTTACATCGGGTATGTAAATTATCAATAATTGCTTTATAATTATTTTCACACATTAATGTACACTACTGATCTAGGTCTAACGTAACAATTTTTTTAGTTAATTTACATTCTAATAATATAATAATTGAAATCTGTTTATTAATCAAAAGTCCAACTGTTACACTTTTCTTTCCAAAAGGACGGATATCGAACACTGATTTTGATACAACGACTGGTGGATTCATATTATATAACGATAAGTTCTTTGAAATTATAAAACGATTTTCAAATTAATATTTATACGATTATTTAAAAAAAAAAAAAAATGAATATAAACACTATGACAGTATAGCTTAAACTAACAGTATTTTTTTGCTCACACATGTTATATACTAAAACTGAAGAGGTTAAAAAAGAAAAAAACGGAAAAAAATGTGAACGTATAATTTAGTTGGATAGCGTGTCGAGGGTTATTTATCTACTTACGTATACCATTGAACCTGAAAATTAATCTTAACAAATTTAATTTAAACTAGACGCGTTATCCCACTAGACTATACGTTCACGAAATATTAAGATAAATATTAACACATTTAAATTGTTTCTTATAAAAACAGAAAAAAAAAATATATTAATAGAAAAAAATATTAAATTACTGTATCATATGTCTTAAATTCACAATCACATTGACATACATCGTTAATCTTTCCGTACTTATTTATTATATTTTCAACAAACTGATTTCCTTTTGATAATAATACGTATATAAACTTTGGATTTCATCTTGTGTGTTCAATCCATGGAATATCATCTTTTTCCCAATTATGTAAGATGAGTCCACAACAAAAACATTCGACAATATCTTTTTTCCCTGAATATTTAAAACCGCTTTCAGCTAATGAGTATTTATCTTGAGATGAAGTTAACGGGAATAAGTTGAATGTTTTCAATCTTGAAGAAAATGTTGTATATTCTGGGTATTTAGGATATGCATTATTTCGTACTAAAGAAACTAGTGAACAAAAATTGTTGCTAAAATTTTGAAAATTCATTTTTTGTAAAAATAAAGAACTTTTTAATAAGCAATAGGTCTTGATCGAATGATGGTCTAATACTAACTAAACTGAACAAGATTAGATTATTAATTTTAAAGTTTGAAAAAACTTTAAATTTAAAATTGTAGTGTGACCAATAAACTGTTTTTGTGTTAAACGAAAGAAAATTGAGCACAAGATTAAAATTACAGTGTAACCAATATAAATAAACTGTTTTTGTGTTACACGGAGACGAAAATGAGGTCAAGGGGTATATTCCCCCTTAAACTTTTAAAATCTCTCTGCCCAAAAGTGCTGTGAACATACAAATACATTCTACTTATAACATAGCAGGTAACTTATAAACATTATCAAAAAAAAACATTTTATTGAAATGTATTTCTTTTAATTTTTTAATTTTTCCACTACGGCATAATACACTAGTGCATTGCAAAGAACACTATTTTTATCATAAGAAAACATGTATAACTCAAAATAGTCATTTTTTGAGTTACTACTCTAATGTACTCACAGTGCGATATGTATTTAACGCAATTTAAATAAAATCATTCGATTTATGTTAAGGTATAGGAAGATCGCCATATGAAGCCATGTTTGGTTTCCCAGTGAGATTAGGAGTCATATCAGTTGGTTTTACGTCAGATAAAATCGCCAATTTGAATACTGAAGAAGATATCGAAACTATTATAAACAGTCAATTAAAGACATTTCTCGATGATGATATAGACCTAGGTATATTATTTATTCATAGTAATATTAAGTATTGAAAAGGTTGCAGTAATTGTTTAATGTTTTTAATATTACTTAGTTAATCAACAACAAGAAAACATACTTTCTGCTCGTGAAGAATCAGCGAAATGTTTGGAAAAACAGGCTTACAAAATGATAAAAACATCAAATCGCAAACTAAAATCTATAAATGTAGGAACTACTGTTCGAATACCAATTCCTGATGTTAATAGGGCTAGAGGATCACCTCAGAATTTATTGGCTGTTGTCACCAAAGTTCAAGATGACTTATACAAATTATGTAAGAGATTTAATTTAACAACGAAAAAATTATAAAAAATAAAAATAGTTTTTTATTTATTCAACTTAAGGTACAGAAAATGGTTACTTAAAGCACAAATACACACTAACAGATATAGTTCCATGTGACGAAAATTTTCTTGATTTGAAAGAGACGAAAGAAAGAGCGAAAGAAAAAGGAATTACTCCCAGAGAGGCTGCCAGGCATAATAGCATTGCTGGGAGTCAGGGATATCAAAGGTGTCATTGTAAAACAAAATGTCAAAACAATCGATGTGCTTGTCGAGCAGCTAAAAATTATGTAATTCGAAGTGCCATAGTAGTTTATCATGTGAAAATATATTTGTATGATAATAATACATGGTTTTGTCGATTTAAGTTATATTTTAATAAATAAATGAAATATTACCCACTTTGATTATCAGTTTTAGGCATTTTATATATTGCCTAGCCAGGGCCGGATGCGTATTTACGTTCTGTACATGAATCTAGCACTCGGTGCCATTTATTATTATGTTGATGTTACGCCGTCATACACAAATTATATTTACAAATACTTATTTTATAATATTTATATGACGATTGCGTAAAGTGTCAAACTCGTGTATAAACGGAACAGAAATTACAAACTCGGATTATACGTTGATT